AATGCCAGAAACAAAAAGCGAAAGAGCTGTCGTTTCAACTAGTCCAGCAGCCTTCTGCCATCCTTCTGAAGGTATGAAAATAAATTATCCGTCTCTTATGCAAAAAACGGAGCTTGTCTGAAACCACAGTCAGGGCAGTAGCTTCAACAACTATAAATTCTCTCTTCCTCAGATTAAAACATTTGCAGTCCAAGGATCTCTCCTTGGGCCCACAAAAGCAGCTGCCCTATTTAAAGCGTGACATTCCAGCTTCCTCCCCCTCTTCGGGGCACTAACAGGACAGTAGTTTCTGCAATATTACATTCTTGACATGACAAATTAAAAAAGCCCTGTACTGAACAGAGCGTCTCTTAAATAGGAAGAGATAGTTATGCTAGCACACTGCTCTTGGGTGCAGCCTGGCACGTTTGAGACGAGCTCTGCATCTAGCTAAGCACAAAGTTTTACCTCATATAGCGAATGCACTAACCTTTTCAAGAGATGCTTTTCTCACAGTTCCCAACTCATCCGCCAGAAGAGATCACTGAAGGAGAGCTGATAGGTTTCTTCCCTTCCCCCTTTTAGCACTGCCGAATTAAACCAGACTGTTTCAGCACATAAGTATGTGCGACCCAGCATAAAGCAGGTTGAAAGTCAAATACTAAAACTCACCAAGAAATAGCCTTCTTTTGTCATGTTCTTAGTATGCACGTGTGGACAGCCTACCATAAACACATACCGTCTTCTCCCAATTTATTCTCGTTAATGGAGACGGGTCACTACTACATAATACACTACACTGCATTTTCGAAACACCATTTTTGCTGTTCCCACATCTCTGCATGCCTCTCCCTCCCTAAACTCCTTTAAAAGCAGTCCTTTTACAGCATCTTCGCCTACAGGCTCTCACCAAGTATTTCCATTAAATGGAAACAAGTGACCATCAGTTTAAATTGCCCTTAAAAAAAACTACAACCCTTCTTCTAACTTACTCCCCTCGCTTCTTTTGCTGCTCATAGCTATTGAAGATAAAGTATTTTGTAGCTATTCAAAATTAAAACACTCTTTTTTTTTTTAACCCAGATAAGGATATTAGAAGACAGTGTCATATACCTCGTGTTACGCAGTCTACGCTTGCAAGAAATTCATGACCTCAAATATAGGAAGGGAGTTTACAGGAATAAAATTAAAACATTTTAATTTGTTAGTTATTCACATTTACAGAAGTCAACAGAAAGTGGACATTACCACTGGAAAGTCATACTCCAATGGTAACAAGTTAAGCGATACATAGTTATTAAGAACACCTACAGTTAGTTGGTTGTCCTACTATATTTTAATCATAGAATTTATTCACGATAATCTTGTTATTCTTTATGATTCTTGTGTTTATGAGAAGAGGGAAAAAATGGCAAGTCATTTCCACATCAGTAGAGAAAGTCACATATTATTGTGGGAGAGGTAAAATTTGGTTTACTTGGGGAAACAATCTCATAAGAAAGAAGCCCAGTATGGGGTGGAGAGGAGGGGAAAGCGTTTATCGAAACTGCTGAATTGAAAATACACTCCCAAGGAAAAAAAAGGGAGGTCAGCTAATGCAATCTGAGTAGAAATTACTAGAGAGATTTTCCACTCTGATAGAGATCTGTGAAATTTCTGAAAACTTCCAACTGCCACCTGCTTCTCAGACTGACCCGCGGACCCTAGTTTTAGATCACTATTTTAGCATTTTGCAGTACAGCATCTTGCTCAAAGTGTTTGCCATTTGAACACTGCAGGAACCCTGTTTTGTTTGGGCTGCATCTGTTGGCACTTCGCTTTGTGCTCAATATTACGTATCCATCATCTGCACAGGGGAAGCAATATTCCAGTGGTTTGCCATAGACTATTGCCCTCCGTCATATTCAGAAGACTGCCAGCAGAAGGTAAATCCAGCAGCTTCAGAAGAGAAGGTTGGCCTGTCTAGATAGAGGGTAGTATCTGCCTGATATTCAACCTGATAGCAGGCTGAATATATATCAGGGTTAGAGTCAAACTCATCAGGTAACGCTTCATGATCTTCCATCTTGACGTATTCCCTGCAGTCTTCAGCCTATGAGGACGCAGACTACGTGCCAAAAGGCTACACCAGAGAGCCATCCTGTTTCCAGCTGCTTACCAGGAGAGACTCCTGCCTCAGAGCTGTGATAGCTGCTCTCCATCTGAATCACACAGCTGAAAACAGTGGCCGCTCTCCTTCCTATCACGGAGGATGAACTGGAGAAGCTGAAGAGGTTTGCTTCACCAACCCACAAGTGAAAAAGAGGGCTTGTTTCCGGCCCAGGGACCTGGCTGTTACTCTTAATTCGGGTAAGATAGCATACAAATGAAGTAATAACTCATCTATCGATACAGTTGAAGCAGTTAAAAGTGTGTATGAAAACAACAAGTGCAGAAGTGAAAAATCATGATTAATCCACCTATACTAAGATTAAACCAGAAAGGTTCCCCCTTATTAATTGACTTGCTGTCTAGTCCTGACAAGGCGATAGTGCAGGATTCCGTCTTCACGCGCTTCACAGTCTCCAAGAGACTTAATTGTGATGAATCCTCCACTAGAGGAGACGTTAAAACTGGCCTTCAAATACGCTCCAGCTCTATCCTGGCTGAATGCAGCACCTCTTACTGCTACTAACCCCCAGAAGTCTTCCTGGGGTCCAGGAGGAGTTAGTCTTTTACCTTGAAACTGCTTCTATTCCATGTGTATCCAGAAGGCAGCCCTGTCGTGCTTCTCATCCAGAGGCACCATTGCTTTATTTTCTGCGCTGCTTCTCATCATCTCCTGCACCAGAACGTCTCTTAAGCAATGGCTCATCTCAATCAGGGGTAAAATTCTCCTTCCCCCATCCTCTGGAGGCTCATTAGCCTGCTTCAGGGTGCTCAGTCTTGGATTATAGCCCACAGTGATATGACAGCTCAGTCCAAGCGGGGCAGTCCTTCTGTTCCCCCTGCTTATCAGACCTTCCCAAGCATCAGTTGAACCACGAAAATTACAGAAGGCTTCCAGCAAGGCAGTTCATGCTTTGCCGCCATTTTAGTCAGTCAAATCAGTTCATCAGTGTCTGAAGAGTACCAGCACAGCTTACGATAAGCAGCAAGAATGAGAAGACAGCGACCGACCCTTCCCCTTCTCAGCAGCAATGAGCTATTAGATCAGCTCAAGCTGTACGCGAAAGCGTACCTTACGCTCAACCTCACAACTTGCAGCAATCTCTACCTTGTAACAAACATATGTAGTGCTTAGGTGTCTACATCCCATATTACGGGGCTCATGACTGAGAGTAAACATGACAGTAGTTAATCATTGAGGAGTGAAAAAATCTCCAAGCCCTTTCTCCTGCACTTTCACCTACAACACACATGCGTTTTTCTCCTTACTTTCTCCCACAAAAAGGCATTCTAGTCTACACACAAGCAGTGAGTTGTGTATACACCTTCTCCTAGCTCTGCTATTTGCCAGCAAATCCCCAACCCCTTTCCCAAATGGCTTACAGCCAAAAAAAATTCAGTGTCAGAAGTGAGCTGGCAAGACCCTGGAAGCAAAACAGACATAACTGAAGTTGGCTTTGCACATCGTTAGCATCGGGACCTGCCTTCCTCCACTACAGCAGACTCTAGTAAGAACAGCATCGATACAGGCCTCTTTCTAGGAGATTTTGCCCAGGGTCTTGCTCAGGACTTATGACATGAGTCTAAGCAACAGGTAAAGGGACAAAGTCTGAATTGCAAAAGGTTAATGTCAAAGCAATGTTGACACTTGCTCCTTTTACCTGCTGGCTTTGGACAGTGATAGGACATTATTATCTGCACTTGAAGATCTGCACATAGGAGTAAGTAGCCTGGCACTCTAAGGATATGCTGTTCAAGCTTTCTACTTCTACTGAAAAGGTACCACTCAGCCTGGATCGTATCTTTCTTAGTCTCATCTAAATGACATAGTCACCACGAAACCTCAGAAAAATATTTACATTTAGGTTTAACTGGCTCCTGGTGAGCTCCTAGTAACTTAAGAGTTGTAGTTTTGTCTAGCAGTCTCATCACATCAACTACCAAGCAACAGCAGTACGTAAACAGATTTTATTTACAGTATATTGCTTAGTCAGCTTTTTGCAAGATGTTCCCACAAAATATATAACAACTTTTGGTGACTTAAACAACTTATTCCTCCCCCTGCCCCCGCAATAAAACAACAACAGAAGTCAAGACTACTCTCACCCTGCATGAAGATTTCTACAGTTCTCTGTACCTACACGGGAGCTAAAAAGCCACAGAAAGTGCTGGGGTATCAAGCCAACATGGAAAGAACACAGGACAAGCTACTTGGAAACTGGGGGGAGGCAGGTAAGGAAGAGAAGCTCTAGAAACATTTGACCCTCAGTAAGACGACCGGCAACAACGTTCTTGGTTTGTGCTGTTCAAGTTACCGATGAAGCATACTCAAGACGAGCAATAGATTTGGTTCGTATGACAAGTACATCAAACGACAACTAAAACAGCTAGAGGATTTCACTTCTTATTTACATTTTCAAAGGACTGGGTTTTTAATAAAATGGAGAACTGGGCAACACTTTTAGCAACAAACCAGACTAGATGGATGGGTAAGACTTGCTATGTTTTAGACAATCAATTCTGACACACTTAACATGAGGCAAAAAAACAATGAGAACCCACGTAAGCAGCCTTCAGTAGTAGAAGGAAATAATGCAAGACTTTTCCATAAAATCTTAAACGTTGTGAACACCCTATTGCCCCTTGAGCAAATAAGCAAGCTTAAAAGTTGTTAGTAAAGCGGGGACAGATATTCCAAGAGGAAAAAGTGCTATAGAGCACAGAGATGCCATGGCAATGCTGCTAAAGAACACCATTCACATATTTAGGTTACATTTTCCCCCCAAAAACCAGGAAGGATGTACTTCTACGTGAATCATACCCATCTTTCCACCTTCAGTGGAGCGAGTTCCTCCACACAACAGGACTCTCACCTTGTTGTAGAACTCCTGCTCCCGGGGACCTCGGGGCGGTGGCTGCAACTGCTTCAAGACTGTCCCATCTGGATGCTGCAATATACCTAGAAGAGAAGCATTTGGTTCAGGGCTTACTTTTAAGAGATGCAGCTTGTATTTTTCAGAAGTAACAAATACACATCAGGGACAGCCCATTTGCTCAGTTCTACTGTTCCCACTACACACATAACAGAAATCAGCAGCTCTCGCACAAAACCCTTGGACAAGATTCGCTCGCATTCTTTCTCTACCCACAAGACGAGCTGGAGTCTAGTTCTGGTCAAGGCCAACACAATACTCAGAGTGACATTACAAGTTCCACCCAAAGAACACTCTATGGAAGATTACAGACGCTTCCTTTTTAAACAGCTGATAACAAATTGGTTTTTCCAATAACATTAAGAGGCTTAAGTTAAAAAGAGTTAGCACCACGTTTTACACATTTAACATTAGCGAAAACAAACAGATATGGCCTGTGAATGCATTTCTACGCTACCGGCATAGAAGGAGCACTTCTTTATTACTAAAGTACTTCTATAATGCTCCATGCTAATCAGAAGCTACTATTCTATCACCTATAACGCAACATAAGATTTCATCTCAGCCAGGCAGCCACCTTTGTGCCTGCACCCCACCGCACCCCCAAATCATAATAATCAGCCTAAACGACCCCGTAGTTAACAATATTGCTGAGTAGCTGCGTGAAGTACTCACAACTGAATTCTATTACAGGGCACTCAAGAGATGGACATGGGCAAGAATGGAGAAAAGTAACTGCATCTTCGTGATATGTACTCTAAGACGGGCTCAAAACGATAGCAAGCTTTTCAAGAGATTCAGCCCTCTCTACTACCTTTTCATGCTAAGAGGATAGAATTCGAGACCATCAGTTACAGGGCTGGGAATCCACTTCAGGATGTACTCATAGCTGTTCATCAGCAAATTATTTTGTGTAGAAGGGAGGGAAGCAGAGTCAGATATATCTGAAGTAAGTTCCATCTTCAGCTTACAGCTTGAGGAGTGGTTACAAGACACTGTAAACAAAGCCAGGAACTTTGTGCCCCCAAAAGCATTAGCAGTTCCAGCAACAACTGAGTTTTCACCTTTTTGAAAGCATTATCTCTGAATGGGTTCTGCTGTGCAGCCCTGGAAACTAAACAAAGTCTTTAGGGCCTACGTTATTTATTTTAAAACAAACACCAGGCTTCGAAAAGTTGTTTCATAAGTTGGCTGCGCCAGTGAAGAAAGCGTGTTTTTAAAAGATTTGCGAATAACAACTCTCAAGTCAAGTTGCCTGCTAAGGCTGGAGTTACACTTTCCAGAACTAGAAAAAGCTGCTGCACAACAATGCACAGACTACCACATCATCTTCAAGACACAACAGCTTTATTTTTAGTACCTTTTTTCACACGTGGTGGAAACCACTTAACAGAGTGCACAAAGTATTTGAATGACAAGTGTTTTAAACTTGAATTATTAACAATCACAACATTAAAAGAGGTTTTAAAAACCACACACTCCTTAATGACAGCATACTAGCCTTGATGAGACAAGCAGGTAACCTACAAGGCAGAAATACCAGGCAAATATTCCCAGAGGTAGAATCTATATACTACTGAATTGATGAAGAGAAGCTTGGACTTTGGAGGCGAGTTACAATAAGTAACTCGCCTCCAAAGCACTGCACTTCGGATCATGACGGATGATAAAGTTTATTACTTGAAGAGTTTAGTATAACCTGATATTGCCTAAAGTTCCTTCATCCTCTGGGATTCTTGACAGGATAGACCGTCTACTCTAAACGCAACCGAGACAGGCCTGGAAACCAAAGGTTCTCATACTTCAGCACCCATCATAGAGACAAACTCCACAACCTTCTCTCCTATCTAAAACAGCAAGAAATAGCATCATTTGCAGTCATGGTTTTGTTTAAGGGGTGCTGGGGTCTTTCGGTAAGTATGAGGAGAGGGACTATCATTTTAATAAATGAATAAGCAGTTTAACATTTCTGAGCAAGCAGTAGAACTGCACTGAAACGTCCTAAAAAGCTTTTCTTTGGCTCTGCGTGCAAAGCTTGCTAGCATGCTGGAGCTCACAAAGCTACAGCAAGAAGTAACATAGATATACACACTTTTCTTCACATTCACAGTCAACGTGCATGCTTCAGTTAACCAGACACAAAACCTGTTTTGCACAAACACGCCGAACATTTACTTTGGAAAAGATCCTCTGCTCCCCGAGAGCACTTCACAGGGACCGACCAGAACGTGTGCGGTTGCCTCAGCCTTCTCAGTTGGAAGTCCAAGTCTGAAGTTTTGTGATTTGCACCACAGAGTAGCACTAAAAGACAACGGTACCCTTGCTACAGAATCCCACTAACCATCCAGGGACCTCCAGCAGTTTCAGAACACAGGGAAACCGCACCACACTCAGCTGCAAGAGGCTCCAAAAGGTGGCATATTCCATCATTAAGGTGTACTTTAACCACAAAAAAAAAAAGTCAAAAAAATACAAGCTCTGGATACCTCCAAGTCTTCTGCGCGTCTGTACATGGGGAGAGAAGGGAAGTCTAGCAGAGGGCAGCAGCAACATGAAGGAGGAAGCTTGGCAGAGTAAGGAAGGCTCAGCACTTCTATCAGCAAACAGCTCAGATAAATAACAACAGCTGTGTGCATCCTGCAGTAAGTTACATTTGCCATGCTATATACATAGCAGCAGAGACATCTAGACAAAGAATTGTCTATTCTTCTTTCCCACCATTTTACTATGTTTTAGGCTTCTAAAGTGCTAAAGGTTTAATGGGATAGGAAAAAGACAAAACTGGAAATAGCGGAAAGGCAGGCTACTGTGGGAAAAAGCTGCAAAGGCAACGGAGAAGGCAGAAGACAAACCAGTCTCCTCATACGTGCTTAAAATTATCATAGGTTCTGGCACACAGACTGCCTGTGGTATTTCTTACCCGTGCTATTAGCAACTACTTATATCCACACATCTGGCCACTATCTTCTTAACAAAGATAGCACAGGGAGAAGCATCGCAGAATTATACATGACCCTGTACATTTAGGATCTCAACTGCCTGTACTCCTACAAACAACATCTGAAAAGAAATAAGACAAGAAGATTCAGTTACAAATGTAAATGAAGAGCAAAGCTGCTCTGTGGTGCTCACGCTTCTCCCAAAGGCAAAACACAGAATTTCTCAGCTGAAGAAATCAATAGTGGAGATACCTCTGCAGGAAAACTTTGGTCTTGCTCCTTAGAACTAGTGGACCTAGCTTTATCTAACCCACTGAGCTTCACCCACAGCAGCGTCATTATCAACACCACACAGAGCTAAGGCAAACGCAACGCAAATTGACGTGTAAAACTCGGAACTCTTCCTGAACGAAGATAAGCTTTTTCATTAACACCACCCATGTTATACATTAGCAAAGAGGTAGATGTACAGCTCTAGAGCGCCAATACACCTCCTTCAGCATTTAATTGCGCAGGCTGCATCACAGGCAGGGGACAAGAATTACCTTGCTATGGAGATTATCAGCAGCAAGACATGAGATGAATATGGGCTATAGGTAACAAGCTCACAATGCCATTAACACTGTAATTTCACTTACTAACAGTTGAAGAGATTATGAAGTTCAGTCAGCGCTTGCCCCTGGCTTATTCAGCAAAGGCAGTCCCCGATCAATAGAGTTCAAAGGCAGCGTGACAGCACATAGTCATTACAGCTATTCTCAAAGGGCACACTTAGAAGTTGAATAGATGCATACCTCACACTTTTCTCAAAGGCATGAGTTTTACCAACTCCAGTGTTCTGGAAGAGTGAAAAATACCACATGGCAATGTCAGCTCTGTACTTGGGTAGTTTGCTTTGGCATTGATCACTACCTACATAAAAAGGAACCTTCCTTAGAAGTACCCGATCTCGAACCTCTACCTGGAATTGAAATAAAAATTCAGAGCTAGCAGAGACATACTTCAAAAAAGGTAGACCCTCAAGATCTGCGTTACTACTATTAGATTGTTTATCTTCCATTGTTTTGGACTTACTCTTACCACCAAATAAACAAGCAACTAAGGAGCCATCCCGTTTCTTCTAAATTCACACACACATTTGCCAAAATTTTTTGCAAGCTGGTAAATCGCTTACTAATATTCTGCTGACATTTTTAGCCTTAAAACGCAGATAAACATTTTAGATGAAGCGTAGGGTTTAACGGCACACTAATAACCTAAAGATATGCGTTACCTAAATTCCCCACTTTTTAAGGTGTCAGATAAAAAGTTAAACTACATAAGCCCTGCTTAAAGACGCCATTGACCAGCTAGTCACGTTCATGAAACTGAAACGATGAATTATTTCAGCCTGCTGTTAGCCGACCGCCTGCAGACAGACCAGCCCTCCTCTGTCCTGAACACACGAGGCAAACGTGTTTATCAATGCTCTCGCCAGATTACAGCTCCCCAGCGCCAGCAGGGAGCTCAGGTGCTGCCTTCAGATCAGGGACACGTTCCCTTCTTCCTCACGTAAGCATGCATCACCGCACACTCTTGAAAAAGAGATATCCGTTTGGTTTTTTTCCCCCCATTGCCAGACAGCACCAAGAAGTCTCTATTAAACCATGAAGCGCTTTCTCTTACTACACAGTGTTTTAAGTAGATTCCATCCACTGTGCCTAAGACTGAATGAGGGAGTCATGTGCAGAAGGACTTACCCAGATTTACCCAATAGCCACACAAACACAGAGAAGATATTTAGCAGCAATGACACCGCTGTATTTTGACTCATGATACACACGCTATGCGTGAAGCTTCGCCAGCCCCTCCAGCCCACGATAGGGGGAATAAGTCTTCCTTCAGGCGATTAAGCTCTCAGCTTTTCCTACGAAGGTACAGAGATCAGCACTAGGAGATAGCAGGAAATTCCCTTCTGAAGGCATTCTTTCCTTAAAAAAAGAGATACTGAGAGACAGACGAGCAGCTTTACTACAGCCTGCAAGGTGGACCGTACTATCTAGTAATGCAGTATCTTACATAACTTTTATTTAGCAGAATTAGTCCAGACGGACACCTCACGCTAACAGGAGCGGTCTGGCATTGCGCTTTGGGAATTATTTCTACCTGCAGCTGTAATAAACAACAGGAAGTTTCCAGTTACCTATTCTCCGAAATAGCCACGAGCACCTTGCAGAAAGGGACACTGTCCGTCTGTCTTAACTCAACTGAGCATCACTCGAACGTGTGGTTAAAGCAAAAGGGACGTCATTTAACTTCTCCGGCCACAGGCGGGCTCAGCTGACCGGCAGGTTTCCCGCACACACGAACACCTGATTTCTAACCCCAAAATAACTGCGCTGAAGGTGCATTTCTGCCCCACAGCAGAGCTCCCAGGGGCGACTTCCCACTAGCAGAGGGAGAACAACCCAAGAGATCCACTTCATGGCATCGAAACCGGTCAAAATAATAATAATAATAAATACGTGAGGTTAAAAAAAATGAAATAAACGCGGGGG